GGTGGACTCCAAGTGCTGAATATTCCGAAATAAGGAATGATATTGAGTTAAATTTTTTTTATATAATTTTTATGTATTATTAAATAAATAAATGTTTAATATTATAAATCTCAAATAAATAAAAAAATTAATTATTTAAATAATACATAAAATTATATAAAATTATAAATTAAATTTTTGCTAAACTTTTTTCATAATTAAATGACATAATTTGAAAGTAACTAAGTTTTCCCTGGATCGTCTTCCAAAGTTCATAGAAAATGAGCCCAAAAATTTATTAACTCTTTTAATGTAATATTATATTATAAAAATTGTACATAAGATTTCAAGTGTACAACCAAATAAAAAGATTCAATAAAAAATCAGAACATAACCACAAAACGTTATGTATCCATTGAATGTCCATGTGATTGGGAGAAACCAGAGAAAGATTCAAGGGAGGATTAACTATCAATTTGGAAGAAGAAGTCAGAGAGCACTTGTTAATCGCCGTGGCCTCTGAACTCCGGTTTGTTACGTTGTAAGCACGCCCAACGCGGCGAACTCTCCCTCCAATCGCCATGGCGAAACCCGGATTTTGAAGCCGGCGGTTGGAACCATCGGGGCGCGGACCATTAACATCCTAAACCCAGGAGTGGAAGAAGGGAACTGTTTTAGTTCCGGGAAAGATTGTGGCATTGAGCTGGGCTATTCTTTGGACCATTGGATCTACTTGGGTCCAGTCCAACTGCGCCAATCTTTCAATTTTTCAATGAGATCTGGGTCACAAAAGGCCCAATGTATGAATTTGGGCTTCCCTAGTCACCTAAGGTCCTAAACTATATTGGTTAAACCCCTAATTTGGTCCTTCAACTATTGGACAGACCTTTAAGTTGGTCCTTAGACTAAAATTTTTTTTGATTTGATTCTTAAAATTTTTAAATTTGGTTCTAAATTGATCCTTCCATTAAAAAACAACTAACATATCTATTACTTAATAGTAGATTGTCCTTTTTTGATAATCACATATTATATTAATAATGAAATATGTTAGTTATTTTTTAATAAAAGAATTAATTTGAAATCAAATTAAAATTTTTTTAGGTTAAATGCTTAATTTGGTCCCTTAACTTTAAGAAATGAACATTTTTGGTCCCTCAACAATTTTTTGAACTTTTTTGATCCCTCAACTATACGAAATGCACTCCGTTAGTCTTTCTGTTAATTTGGGCCGTTAACCCTGCTTAGGTGGCATTTTTAATATTTTTTTGATGATGTGGAAGGCAAAACTTAAAAAAGTGATGACACGCATGCAACTTTTACTATCTCACATGCTACCTGGCGAAAATACACCAAATTCATCTAAATGGGTCCCACATCACTACTAACAATTGCTTCTTTGCCCATCCCTTATGAAGTTCGACGAAATCCAGCAGATCTGGGTTCGATGTAATCCAGCAAATAGGTTTCATTGAACCCAGCTCAATTCATTGAACTCAATTGTCTAAAAATCTCTCGCAACAACCTGCAATTTGAAAATAATCTCTTGGCAAACAATCATATAAACACCAAAAAAAAGTGGAGTTGGGTTCTGGGTTCGATGGAACCCAGAGCTGGGTTCGATCTGGGTTCCATCGAACCCAGTGCTGGGTTCCATCGAACCCAATGCTGGGTTCAATAACCCGAGGAAAAAGAGGAAGAAGAAGAAGAAAGAAGAGGAAGAAAAAAAGAGAAAAAGAGAAAGGAAAAAATGAATGAATTATTTTATTTTATTTTTTAAAAATATAAATAGGAATAAGGTGAGTTGGCATAAAAAAAATTACACGTCTAACATGTTTTCAATTTGTTTTTGCCACGTCATCAAAAAAATTATAAAAAATGCCACATAAGCGAGTTAACGATCGAAATTAACAGAAAGACTAACGGAGTGCATTTCGTATAGTTGAGGGATCAAAAAAGTGCAAAAAATTGTTAAGGGACCAAAAATGTACAAATCACTAAAGTTGAGGGACCAAATTTAGCATTTAACCAAAATTTTAAAATCAAATCAAAGACTCTTGTAATTTAAATATCAATTCAAAAGTTTATATAATAGTTAAGCGACGAAATTAAAAATTTAACCAACTATATTTTGATGATGGGCTAATATTTGATCTGAATTTGGTCTTTAGTCTAAATATTTGAACAAGGACCGAAAGAACTACAAGATTGAATTTGCCGTCTCATTTTTAGTTTATTTAGTAAAATTTAAAAAACGCTTGTTTTTTAAAAATAAACTTGTATCCTTCTAATCAACACTTTTGACTTTGGTAATATATAAAGATGATCAGTTGAAATGTTCTAGATTGAAATAATGACATGATCGTTTTGTCTTTTGGATCATTCATCTATGTCTTTGAAAACTCTCCATACATAAAATCATTACCGTCGTTTTTCAGTGATAAATCAAAAGAAAGACAAATTGAAGAAAAATTATCCAATTAACTCTTTTTTACTCAGATAAATCTAATGATTTGATATGTATTCTATCCTTTTGATATTTGTTTTGAGAATAGATAATGACCCATTTGATATTGATTATTGTTTTGAGATAGTACTGCCTATCTAGTCATATTATGATACGAGGACAAATAAAAAATGATAACCAACGTACAACTATTAGTATGATTTTTCTTAGTAAAACAGTCTTTTTTGTTGAAATAGAAATACCCGTCAAACGAAGAAAGTGAAAAAACCCTCCTCCGCCTCCTTCCTCTTCAAAAAGAAACCATAGTCTATCTTTCATTTTTTTTTTCTTGGGCGGCGGACTTTTTAGGGTTTTCATAGAAATGTTTTGTCACTCTGAAATTTATGTAATC